ATATAATATCGCCTCACCATTTGTAGCATGTCTTGATGTTTGGCTCTGAATCTGCTGAATTTGTCAACAGAACTAATGAGGGAGGCGATCCTTTTTGCAGCAGACTTGTGATGGTAAACAAGCAAGCAAGACCAGTTGTGACCTGTGAGAGAATGCGACAATGCTCTCACGCAGCATCAAAGTATGTCTCATCAAGGCAGATAGCTAAGAGCATCATCCTTTGACTCCTCAAAATTCTCTGGTTTGAGGAGTTAACCCACAAAATCCTGCACAAGGGTATCTTTCTTAAGCACCCAGCTGACGGACTATATAAACCGCTGATATTCCTGCAGCCATGGAGTCCATTGAGCAGGCAGAAGGACTCGTTGCTCCTTGATCGTCTCATCTCCAGCTTGCGCAAAGACAGGGGCTCTTCGATCTACCGGGTGCAACAATCCAGCTAGCTGTGGGCGTTGGATTGCTGCGGTTCAATGCGGGTTGCTTCTCTGGAGCGTCGTCTACCTGTTATCTCAGGCGTGCTTTTGAGCTTTGGAGCTGTGCTCCTTTTACCCTTTGGCTTGTATCGAACGTTTTTTTTTTCAAGTTCAGTTGTACTCTTGGCTTGTATGGGCTTCAGTTTAAAGCCGGGCAGCAGCCTCCTTTCAAAAAGATAGTTGCGGCCTTGCGGATGCGGAGTAGCTGAATAAAGGTAAGGTCCAGGCCGGTGTTATAGCGAATCGATTTACAGCCTTTATATATCTCAATAAAAATAGCCTCAGATTCACTGCAGTTCAAATCATTTTTCACCACTCGATTTTATCTGCATCCCGATAAAAGTAGCCTTCGGTTCACTGCAGTTCAAATCATTTTTCACCACTTGATTTTATCTGTCCTTGCATATAGGAGCGCTGTGCGATAACATTCTTCCATTGCTTGGAAAATATATGGGGAGACAATAGAAACAGCAGTGCAAAATTAGACCATGTACAGAGCAGTATTGGGGAGGTTGCGTCTAAATGACCAAGCCGTGGGAATAGCAGGAGTGATTGGAACAAGACGGTGGAATGGTCATTGACCAATGGCTGGCATGTAAACAGCACGCAAAAACAGAAACAACAATCAGCACACCTACTAGTACCCTACCCACGAGTATTAGCACCATAATTAACACTATTGTGATCAATAAAAGAACTGTAGGAAAAGCAACTAACAACAAATGCCAGGAAAACATGTGATCAATAAAACAAGCCGCTCTTGCGTATATATATTGATTTGACTCTATTTATTCTTAGGAAAACATGTGCTGCTGCCAATTTCTCAAAAGAAAAAAACACACAAAGGCGATAAAATAATCCTCTTGCCGGTCATGCTTGAACTTTGAACAAAAATAAGTATACATGTAAGTGAATAGCTTTAGGACAAACCACAGTAGCATCCACATCTACCGCCGCTTGGGATTGTTGCATTCACTACAGGGCTCCAGGACCTGGAATCCAACACCCGAGGGAACTCTCCCTGCAATGTATGTGTTCGCAACCTCAACAGCTCTCTGAGCCTCCGCTATATTACTCTCGGTCATCATTGGGCAGCATATACCCATCTTTTTTGAGGAGGTGTGCTTTCTAGTGATACCACACTTCGTACTATAGCGAGGCCCAGGGGTTGTGTCTAGTGTGAGGCAGTCAAGCCGGGGACTGCTCTCAAGGAGATAGATCACAAACTGAGCGAGCTTCTTTGATGAACAAAAGCCTGTGATCGTCACCTGTCTGAGGTGATCATGCCGGCACTGTGGCTGCCACCTCTCGTAATTAGCATTATCGCCTCCAACAACAGAATCATCAGGTCTCAAGGTATCCTGACCTACCTGGATATAGATATATAGGATCAATCGACATCAATACCATTGTTCTTTGATAACCTTTTGTAACATCATTTATAGACTAAGAGATATGACTTACATGTAGGGTGAAAGAATCCAAGGCCGGAGAAGCATCGAGAAAAGAAACCAGTGACAGGACATCAAACCTGATGAAGCAGCCTTGCAATGATCTTAGGATGTCAATTGTCAACTTCGTGAGGTAGGGGAACTTGGAGGGCATCATTGGAATATCGACATTCTGAAGAACAGAGGGTCCGGTGATCAATCAGGCCTCGTGTTCGTCCAATATGCATGTGTTATATACAAAAAAACTGTTGATCCTATATAACTTCTCTAGCAACCGATGTGTAAACCATGTTAGACTAACACAAATCACACGTGAAAAATAGTTCTTTTGAAATTTACTAGTTTCTTATTGGAACGTGTATACTTATGTTCAGTGGCGAATCTACAGGGCAGGCTTTAGCAGGCTCGAGCCTGCCCTCCAGCGCTGCCAATTCTTTTTTTTTTCTACTACACTTAAGGCCCAGCCCAGCCAAACGCCCCCACACCACTTGTTCGCTGGCTCGCTCGCACGAGGCCGTTGCTGCTTTCCATCCTCCCAGAGAGCACGCACGAGGCTGCTACCATTACTATATTATTATAGTTCGAACCATGGCAATTTTGCTAAAGTCTAACATTTGATAAGTTTCAAATAATTCCAAAAAATTACAGTAAATACTATGTGTGCCCAGTAGTATCTGGGAAATTCTGAGGTAATTTGGGTTGCAAGATTTTGAGATATTGGCTATTTTGCTAAACATAACCAATTTTCGGTTCAAAATTTTATATTTTGAAAAAATTCTGAAACAATTCTAGTGCATAGTACAGTACATGTTTTCAGTAGTATTCTGGTAAATTTTGACCTTTGAAAAAAAGAATTGAGAGTCAGTGTTTTTTTTCACACCGTTACTTTGAGCCCGCCCTCAATTTTCTTCCAAGATATTGTGGTGAAAGAAAACTATAAAAACATGTAATCGTGCATCTCTTAAATAAATGTTAATTAATAATAAATCAAATCTATTGAATGACACATAATTTATAAGCCCGTATATCTTGTACAATTCGATCTAATTTTTATTTTTATTTTCAGGAAACATGCACAACTCGATGATAAGCACCATGCTATTTCTTTGAGTGAAGAATATTAGAACAGCACGTAAAACACAAACTCTTTAAGCATGAGCACCTTCTCAACAGTACAGAGTGATACCAAGAATTAAAGAAGGGACCACGACAATTATGCCCACAACTATTGGATGAAGAATTATGAAATTGAATTTGGGACTTTAGATTGCTCTTATGGAATTCCCGCAAAAAAAAAGATTGCTCATATGGAAAATATCATATCATACCTTATGCTTTTCATATTGGTACAAGAGTAAAAACCAACACATACCTCCCAAAGAGAGATCAAGGATAGGCTCTTGACATTTGGCGCGGTGTATGAAAGCTTTGCACGAGCATAAGACAGCAAGTGGGATGGACCTATCAAATGCACATCCTGAAGTTGCGAAGGATCCGCAACTGAGATTTCTACTAGGGCCCCAATAAAGTGCAAAGTGGAGAGGTTGGGAGCATTGATCTCTACCGCCTGCAACCTCCCACACCAGCTAACTTTGAGGACATTGAGTTTCTGCAGCGTACATGGTATCTTCAAGCATATTATCTTACTGCAATTGATGATATCAATCTGCCCCAAACTGAAAGATTTGGAGAGCAAGTGCCCTAATCCCTCATCAGTAATGTTGACTCGATACAAACATAATGTTTCCAATCTACTCAACCAGCCAAGTGTTGTTGTCGGATGAAAAGCACAAGCATGGAGTTCAAGAGACCTAACTGAACTTGCAGCCGCCTCATTAGACAAAACCGAACATGGGAAGATGTACTCTTTCTTCATGGATCTACACAACACAAGCTTAAGTTCTTTGATCCCCGGACGAACAGCAGTTATTTGGAGCCATCTGTCCAGGTACGACGCGTCGATATTTTTGCAAGGGTAGAGCTCAAGATCAAGTCTGGATATCTCCATCCCATGGCGGGAGTGGTTCCTAAGAATTTTGTCAACTACGTTGATAAGAATTTTTGCGTCCATAAGAAAGATATCTGCATCGTCCTTATATTTCTTGCCAGTCAACCCAAGTGTTTCCACGCTGAGAGTGAGGTTGGTATAGCATCTCCAGGAACGCAGAAATCCACGACACACGCAGGCAGCACGAGCAGCATCTCGCACTGGCAAGAGGGAATGTATATGATGTATGATGTCCTACAGAACCAAGGTTGAAAATTTCGACGGTTAGACCACAGATAGTAATAAACGCGTGCTGACTTGATTTGTTGTTAATTTGAATAAAACAAGCACCCGCACACATATATGTTTGTTTTATAATAGGAGCTTTATTGACTTAATCATTGCATTGAGGGGAGGTCCTGCATAGCAAGACGCACACAATGCCAACGAAACAAAGTAAAGTTCAGAAACACAACCACACAAAGCCAACGAAACAAAGTAAATTTATTTGCAATTTTGATGATGAGGGTGCATCAACTGGGTTAAATCTATGTAACTGCGTTTCGTGGCAGATCTACGGCGAGCCTTGAAGATTTCCTTGGTAAGCATGCATATATGCTTGCAAGATACTACATGTCAGGACATTGAGGAATTTGCACAGTGCAAACCAGTTTATTCACGAGAAGATGTAAAAAAAATTCATAATTGGGCGTATCTTTGTATATGTTGAATTCACATCTAAAGTCATAATAAGATTGAATGCATACCGTGCTAGATATTTTACTTGTAATTAACTACAAACACTTGATTACCGGCCAGGAATTAATTAATGCATATGTTACATACCACGGGGAGTTTGTCAAACACAGGTTCACGTCGCCGGCAGGCTGATCCACCATCTGCAATGAGACTTGACCAATTAGAACAGAATTAAACTGCTCCGAGGAGAGAGATGCGGTCGGGCCGGGGAGCAGTTATGTACGTACGTGCGCACGGAGGTGTAAAGAGCTCCCGCAGCCACTGCTTCGTGGTGCACGCGGCGGCATGGATCCCCATGGATCGATCGGGAGAGGGAAGGCCCGCTGCGGCGAGGTATGTAGACGGCGGCGGAGTCGTCCCTTGCTTTAAGATCGCTCTCGTGTTGCCATGTTTTTTTTCACCTAGCTCTCGTACGTGTTGTTGTCAGTTGGGATATCTATAAACCTTTTTTTTTCTTGGTCCATCATAACGTCTGCAGGAAAACCCCTCATCGTTTTTAGAATCAACCTGCAGTACGTCTAGCTAAATTGTTTTGGAGCTTTTTTTTAGCTTAATATGGCTTGTTTGTTTGGGCTTTTACTTATGCTTTTGCTGCTTTTAGCCCCCTAAAAGCAGAAACTCAAACAAACAACTTAATTTCTCGGCTTGGGCTTCGGAGAAGTTGGTCTCCGAAATGCACCGCGGGCAAGAAGCTCGTCCACACCAGCTTCCGACAAGCTCCACCAGTTTCTCATCCTCCCGCAAAAGCGTGCCCTATGCTTCTCTGTTATTACATAAAAAAATGCCATCCATACTCTCCCATCTTGCATCCCCCAACTAGGGTTCAGGGTCCAGACACCCTTCTTATCCCTCGCCGAAGGGGGCCTTCCCCCTCGTCCAGGATTGAGCATGCTTAATGGATTGAGTTCGGTTCGTGAGGACTAGATTGGTTTCGCATCTTCAAGTTGTGTACAAAATTTAGGGCTGGAACATTTTCTTCCATTGAAACTAAATAAAAATATATATATATATATATTTAAAAATAGTTTTTGGAGTAACATGATACATCTGATTGAGTAGATTTAGTGTGAAAGTAAATGCAATTAAATATTTTTAATCAAGCTTAACTATAAGATAGAAAATATTTTGTGACAAAACATTGTTTTAGTATGTACCAAGGCAAATGTATGAAAATACATGTCTTATAATACATAAGAGCAAGATCACTTTTTTAGTTCAACTAGTTATAACTAAAATTACCATGCAAAAAAAACTAAAATTAGTATTTAAGGTAGTATATTAAAATGTTTCAATAGAGAATGGTATACATTTATTTCTTAGGATTAATTATTTTGACTGAATACAAAAAGTTAGGAGAAGAATGTGAGTCTATTTTAACTCACTCCCGGGCTTTGCTCCTCTAACTTGCCTCCCATGGGACACGCCTCATGACTTAACTCCCTCCTTGATGTTGATTGTGTAGGGGGGAATCCAACTATGCTTGCCAAAACAAATGAAAATGCATTTCATGCGCTTCTTCACTTCCCTTTTGCTCTCATATTCTTACACTAAATGAAGTTCTTATGTCCCTTGCAATAGAAGTAGGCAATTATGAAGTATATTATCTTTTTCTTAAACGCATTTGCATGCTTCCCATGCAACCTACTATTTGTGTTCATTTTTTAAAATGATTGTTTGTGTTCATTAGTATTACTGATAACTTATATCTCAAGTCCTTTAGAAACCTCATCTGATTTAAGATACAAATCATACAAAGATGTATGGGAATTTTCTAATTTAAATTAAAATAGCATGCATCATACCACTGATTTGATTTTTTTTCTTCCAAACTAGACAAAGCAAGGGGATTCTGAAGGAGGAAGAGATGAACCTCGACTTGTGCGGGGTCACCAGTGGCAGCGGCAGTCCCAGCGTGGGGGTTGCGTGTTGGTAGAGTAATAATAAAGTTTTCTTTTATTATTTTCAGCCTGCTCATGATTTATGTTTTGAGTAATACCTTATGAATTAGTCGACGAATATGTGATTTGCCAGTCAAAACCTATTCTAAATATATGTGATTATTATTCTAAATGGATCCTTAGGCAAAATATGCATGTGGACACATACATAGACTAGCACATGTATCGGCTGATAGCCGCTTCGTCTCGGTGGTGATCCCTACATGTCCCTCTGCCGCCAAGGCCCGGGCCATTGGGCAACCCTGCGCTAGATTGCCGCCCGAGTGCTCACTCACCTCCATCACTTGGGAGCCCCCTCCCGAGCAGTGCCGCAGCAGGCTCGAGCTCTGTCACAATGGGTAATCGGCTCGCCGCATCTTTTTGTCCTCACATCGACCACCACGCATCCCAAGTAGCGAGCGAAGCAAGCACTAACATGACGGTCTCAGGCGCAACGACAGTCATCGGTTGTGTTCTGGAAGAGCAAGCATAGAAGGGGTTAGTGAAAGATGGGCTGATAGGTGGGGGCCATTTGTCATCGTGTATAGAAATATTTAGGAGTTAAGTTGTTACTAAAAAAAGGAGTTAAGCTGATTGGGGATGGGCTAGATACAAGCCTCCTAATGCCTGGAATTTATTGACGGTTATGTTTGTGAGTTAGTTCAGGGAGTTAAATTATAGGCGTTAGTTTAGAGATGCTCTAAGCCGATTCAGAGAGGTGTAGACATCCAAATACACATGCTAATCTTAAGCTCGTGGTCATTGTGGAAATGACTTCGATGAGAGAAATAGTTCAATTAATCTTACTAACTACAACTACAAAAGTGACACCGGGATATCGCTGTTGAAGTTGTTCCTTGGTAGGTCGAGCACCTAGAGCAACACCATGTCATTCAACGCCTTCGGATAGGATGCCACTGAATGGCGTCAAACCGAACTGTTGCTCGAGGCGGTGTGGGATTTCCCTAGTGAGTCTTGAGGTCCACTCACATAAAAAAAAGACCATCCAAGACTAGCCCTTGGAGGTATATTTTTATAGAAGGAATTCTCTAAGCACCCCGGGTCACCTCCGGACTCAAACCCGGGTGGGCTTGCTCGCTCCGAGCGAGCCAAGCCAGCAGGGTGACACCCTGCTCTCGGCCCACTCACATTAGGCGACTATAGCCGAGACTGAGATAGTGAGAATGGAGACTCTGCAACGGAACTCTTAGAAATCTCTCTATCACCGATGTGGTCCCTCCTCTCCCCAGCTGGATGGCCAAAATGGCTAGAAAACCCCAAGTCGGCAAAATACGTACAGAAAACAAGGCAGTTATCCTAGAAAATCTGGCGGAACATGTTCATGTACCGTAATTTGCACAAAATATAGCCATAGCAAGTCGTTTGAATCTAGTGAACATGTTCATGCATTTATCCATAGCAAGTCTTTTGAATCTTCACTAGATAGTAAACGGGTTTGGTAAACCCAGTGGAAAATGCTCTTATCCCGTAACAAACATCCAAGATAATGTTCTCTCTATCTACGAAAGCATTTTGAATGTTAACTTAACACTATGGTGCTGCATGCGTAACGTTGTGGGCAGCTCCATTGTTAGTCTGTTACTGTCCAATCGAGGCCAAGAAATTTATTTTGGTCACTCCGACTTTGGTCGCCAGCTTGACAGCGGATGGATGTACTGTACTGGGCTGAGAAACCCTTCCCCTGCTCGCTGCGTCTCTCCGCTACGCCTCTTAGTGTATGTAGTGTGAGATTCACCGCCTCTCTGTAAGTCTACTTTCCCTATCAATGAAATGATATGCATCCAATGCGTATTCGCGGAAAAAAAGGAAAAAAAGATGCTTGACAGCGGATGGATGTATGAATCAAAAACCTCGGAGTTGGTGGTGTACGGAATCCGTATGGCCTCATTTATCATATCTTCACAAGTCGTACTAATTGCCCCATCCTTAGTTACTCCCTCTGTTAACTAATACAAGACCTTTTATACACAACAACAAATCAAGCCATTTAGTTTTCCCCAAACCCTAAAACCTGTGGCGGCGCTGGAGACGATTAGGGTTTGACGTGGATCCAACTCTGCCCAATGACTCGTCGCCGGTGCAAGCGGGATAGAAGGGCGGCAAGTTCTCTGGGCTCATGGCTGATCCCAGCGCTGTGGGCTCGGGGGAGCGGAGCGATCCCCAGGCGGGCTGTGCCGCCAGGAGGAAACTTGAGGAGGCCCTTGGGAAGCTTGACATATCCAAGGAACAGGCTACTCCTCTGATCCTTGACGATCGCGTCGAGGGAAGGCCGGAGAAGTGGCTGAAGGAAATATGCCCTAGAGGCAATAATAAAGTTATTATTTATTTTCTTATATCATGATAAATGTTTATTATTCATGCTAGAATTGTATTAACTGGAAACATAATACATGTGTGAATACATAGACAAAGAGAGTGTCACTAGTATGCCTCTATTTGACTAGCTCGTTGATCAAAGATGGTTATGTTTCCTAACCATAGACATGAGTTGTCATTTGATTAACGGGATCACATCATTAGGAGAATGATGTGATTGACTTGACCCATTCCGTTAGCATAGCACTTGATCGTTTAGTTTGTTGCTATTGCTTTCTTCATGACTTATACATGTTCCTATGACTATGAGATTATGCAACTCCCGTTTACCGGAGGAACACTTTGTGTGCCATCAAACGTCACAACGTAACTGGGTGATTATAAAGGTGCTCTACAGGTGTCTCCAAAGGTACTTGTTGGGTTGGCGTATTTCGAGATTAGGATTTGTCACTCCGATTGTCGGAGAGGTATCTCTGGGCCCACTCGGTAATACACATCACTATAAGCCTTGCAAGCATTGCAACTAATGAGTTAGTTGCGGGATGATGTATTACGGAACGAGTAAAGAGACTTGCCGGTAACGAGATTGAACTAGGTATTGAGATACCAACGATCGAATCTCGGGCAAGTAACATACCGATGACAAAGGGAACAACGTATGTTGTTATGCGGTCTGACCGATAAAGATCTTCGTAGAATATGTAGGAGTCAATATGGGCATCCAGGTCCCGCTATTGGTTATTGACAAGAGAGGTGTCTCGGTCATGTCTACATAGTTCTCGAACCCGTAGAGTCCGCACGCTTAACGTTCGTTGACGATATAGTACTATGAGTTATGTATGTTGGTGACCGAATGTTGTCCGGAGTTTTGGATGAGATCACAGATATGACGAGGAACTCCAGAATGGTCCGGAAGTAAATATTGATATGTGTATAGTAGTGTTTGATCTCCGGAAGGGTTCCGGAATTCACCAGAAGGGGTTCCTGATGTTTCTCGAAATGTTTGGGCACGAGAACACTTTA